CTAGTCGCGGCAGCGCTAGATAATACTCGTCTGTCTGTCTCCATTCATGGCATATTAATACTGTTTCTATGTCTTGAGAGGGAGGGAGGGAGGGTCCGGGGCAACAGGAATACTGTGAATGCTTCTCTTCACGGGAGACTGAAGTAGGCCTAACCCCGGGCCGCTAGGACTCTCGCTCTGAAACAGACCACAGATTATATGTCCCCAGTGCCACATACAACAGCCACAATCCTCTGGACTTCCCTTTCTGAGGGATACTACTCCCTGCTGGTGTGGTTTGTGTTCCTGTTGGCTTCATTCATGAGCTGGCGAGTTGATGAAAAGACGAAGAGAAGCATGGGATTACTATTCTGGCTAATCATACAGGCAAGAGTGACCACTGTGTCTGTTATTAAGCCCGTAATGATGATTTGGTTCCACCAGGCTGGAAGGATCACGAAAACTCACTTGTTTCAATGAGTGAAAGTGGTGAGTCAGTGAAGCTCTGGTCTGTGTCTGCTTCGTTGTGGGGTTTCTCACAGAGCATGCCAGGGGCCTCAAGCTTTCCCACATTGGACACAGAGAGGATGTGGAGGCGCAAAGCATGGCCTCCCCACAGAAGCCACTGTGACCTTGAAGCGTGGTGTGGGGCCAAACGGCCGGCCCAAGGGCCACAGAGAAAACCAATTCACTATCACTCCTGTCATTTGAAACTGAAACACCAAAACTGATTCATACATCCAGCATGCAGCTAATCAAACCTCTGTACGTTTTTGGTCCAAAATGTGTCCGAAGCACTGGGAATGGAAACCTTTCAAGCCCTGAAAGTTGGCATCAAATGCCTGGTCAGATTCCGAGTCTTGTCTACTTATTCTCTGATCAGAGTCCTGATTAAAATGATAATTTTGACCATTTTAGACTTGCTGGTGTTTCGACCACATTTAGAGCAGTTTTTAGAGCACAGTTCAGACCACAGTTAAGAAGTTTGCCTTGTTTTGTTAAACAAAAGAGAAGAAAAAATCATTACAGTATCATTATTGGCACCAATATCCAGTGGTGGTATTCTGACCCTTTACTTAAGTAACAGTAGTGATACTGAAATGGTAAATGGTCTGCATTCATGGCACCTTTCTAGTCTCCTGACCACTGAAAGCACTTTAAACTACAGGTCAACATTCACCTATTCTTTCACACCAATGGCACAATGGCCTTTGGGAGCAATCTTGGGTTCAGTATGTTGCCCAAGGAAGGACACTTCGACATGCAGCCGTGAGGAGCCAGGGGTCGGCTGGTTTTAAAACTTTACTTCAGTAAAAGAACAGGAGGTATAATGATTAAAATGTAAAATGACCCCTGTGAATGTTTCCTCGTACGATATATTATATTACTGAATGATTATTACTGATTTAATAATGTGTAAAGCATTTTGCTCTTGTAGTTTGTTGTTAACAAGGCCTTGTTATATAAGCTCTTAAGATATTTTTTATGAAATCTTTTTATATTTGTAAATAGGGATGCACGATAATCATTATGCAAAAAAGTTGATAGACTTTATGTTTGTGAGGTTTTTTAATGAACTTTACTGGAAAAAAATAAAAGGATCAGAAGGGTTGTTTGTTATTAACAATAGTGATATCAGTTAGATTTGGTTACAACAGAGCTATGCAATATTAAATCATCCATCTTTGCTCAACACATCTTAACCTTTCTGACACTCAGGTTTAAATTCAAAAACGTGAAATTATTATGTTAGCGGTATCAGCCATGAGAAGCAGGTAATTATCAGTTATTATATAGGATGAAAAAAACTCCATATTGTTCATCCCTGTTTGTTAAGTAAAGAGGATCTGATACCAAACAATTAATGTAGTAAAGTAATAGGGACAGTATTTACTTTCCATTTACTTACTGAAATGTAGTAGAGTAGAAGCATTAAGTGGCATCAAATTAAAATTCTCATGTAAAAATCTGTAAATGTACTTTGTTTCATTCCACCACTGGTGATATATTGTAATTTTACAAATGACAGCCAGTCCTATATACAGCAGGAAAAAAGACACGTGGTGCTACCCAGTGCCTTGCGCAACAGTTTTTATCTTTGCTTTGGTCATTTAGGTTCTGTAACAATGGGAACCCAAAGTGAAGGTTCCCATATCTGAAGTGACCATCCTACTGCACTCGTCCCCTCCTCTTCCTCTGAGAGATAAGACCCCGTCCAAGATGAAGAGACAATCATCTGAGACTTAACTTCACAACTGTGTTGTAACACCGCTTCTTCAAAATCCCTTTTTGTCCACATCAATCTTTCGGTGGTGCATTCAAAGACTGCTCGGGCTTGCTAACAAGTTCTTTGGACATTTTTTCACAGCAGGGCAAGAGGGGCCAATGCCAAGGGCAAATATAAATATTTATAACTACGGCTCTCAACTGGTTTTGAATCAGACCCCAATCTGACCTGGCCTGTGAAGGCATTGTTTAAAAAAAAAAAAAGCCCATCAAAGTTTTTCTCAAGGAGGAAAACTGACTAACAGACAATAACACAACGTGATTGAAAGTGTAATTTTGCTCATAATTTCTGCTTTTCCCTTAACAAAATGAGAAGAGAGAAGATAAAACAGTGAAGTGGGACCATATTAACTTAACTGTCAATACCCACTGTATAACTATGAAATAATTTATGCAGCTGTTGTTAAGGTATAGAGACACAGCCTAGAGTAATCCTTTATACTGTATGTATATAATATACTGCTCTGCTAAAACTCACCTCCCCTTCCCCCTTAACTCCAACATTTAGCACCCACCTTATGCTAACAGCAAAACAGCACCCCGCTTAAATAAACTCTATAAGGTTATAAGGAAGTAGCAACCTGATTTTGACTGACCTGGACCTTACAAGATCACAAGAAACTTCTCACGCATCTGAAATACTAAAATCCCACCTGGCCTTTGAAGTCCACAGAAAAGAAATAAACTGTTATCCGTATCCATCCGAGTCATGGTGAAACATCAATCATCCCACATCAGGAGGATGTTAAACAAAGATTTACTCAATTATTTGAAGGGATTACGTAATTACTACTCTGCATCTACAGAGGACAGAACATCGCTGAATGACTCTTCCCAGTCAGGCAAGATAATTGATTCATGAATAGTCATCACACAGGTTCATTTCCTGCATTGCAAAATAAACGTTATTTAAGCCGAATGACATATGACATGTGGCTGAAATCAGGCTTCATAATGCTTCCTAATCCTCTAAATGTAGTTGCGTTTATCCTGTTAGAGGCACAATTACAGTTCTCTTCCACAGTACAAATGTGTAGGCCTGCAGGTGGAAACAAAAATATACCTCCCCGCCCCACCCAAAGATCCAACTCATAATATTGTGTCAGCGCCTGAAAGTGTGAAATTTCACAACATGGAGATAATTTCGGAGATCCACCCATCGAAACTTCACCCAGAAGTTCCAACGAGGCGATTTCAAGCTATACTTTATTCTTATTTTTAGAAACTAGGCCAATCATGAAAAGTGTGGTGTGAGGATCACTCAAGCCTCTCTGCTGAAACCCTTTCAGGATCCCAAGACAGAAATAACTCCCTTTTCTTAAAATATGTCGGAGAAGATACGGACAGAGTGAGCTAGATGATAACAGCTCGGCCTTTTTTCCCCATGCAGTTTGACTTTCCTGAGATGGGGCTGCTTGACAACCAGAGCTGGTTTGACAGCACTTTGGGAACGAGGCGGACGTGCCCAGGCCTGACAAACAGAGGTCAAGGTAAGCCTTCTGGTACACTGAGAGAAGAGTCACACAAGTTGCAGGAGATGCAGCTTGACTTTTGCATCTGGATGGGCCAAATGTGAAGTGACAGCCTCGGTGAAGTGGAAAGCGTGTTTTGGGAAGGAGCGGAGGCTGAGGTATGGTGGATATGTGCTGCAGCCTGGTGAATCGGTCCAGACGTGGTGAGTCAAGCTCCGGGCAGACACAGCAACGGCTTCTTCAGATATGACAGGCCAGGCCGTGCTGTGCCTCCTCAGCCTGGATGAGGCTTCTACCTGGATGGGGCTTTTAAGTATTCAAACTAGTTGCTTGTATATGACGTTGATGAAGCAGGGTACATACTCTTTATATAACTGTCACCATTTCTCATGATAAACAGGCTGTTAAAGCAATGATCCATGTACTGATGAGCTAAAATCAGCACTCGCAGTCAAAGTCAAAAAGCAAAGCAATGCATAAATGACTTCAACGGCCACAAGATTGAAATGGTATGCTCGGTTACACCCAACATTCAGAAAGAGAGGAGAATATTAATCATTACAAAAAAAAAAAAAAAACTTTTGGGAGAGGTTGTAAAGGGGAATGCACACACTCCAGAGACTGCCGTGTCAGAGAGCAGAGGAAGAAACACAAAGCAGCCGCTGTGATTTGACAGACCATACATGTTAACGTTAGGGCGACCTAAATCCTGTTGTGGGTCGCATGAAGCCCCCCTCCACCCCCACGCTCCTCCAACCAAACCCACCCACCTCCCCACCCTCTCTGAAAGTGTAATAACAAAGCGTTGATCAATAAAGTGTACTTTCGAGTGAGGTAGGACAGACCTGGACCCCCTCTTTGTTTCACTGCCAGCGCAACAGCATCCGTGTTGGCACAACAAACCGCGCTGCAACCCCTGACTTCTAAAATGTTGTCGCACTCATCTTCAAGCCCCCTTTTCTCGAAAGCCCCCTTCGCCAAAAAAAAAAAATTCCCTCCCTGCCTCCGAGCTACTTCTGAAATGTTGAAGCGTCAACAAAGAGGTCTACAACTATTAAAACACAACCATACTCCTTTCTAAGCCCGGGGCTAACTCCGCTGTGGTACAGGTATCATGTAATGTAGCCCCGTGAGGCTGAATGTGGGGGGACAAAGTGCTTGTTTGTGGGTGACACAATGTTACAGCGAGAGGAAACATGCTGGTACAGCGACATTGTAACAAGTGTGATTCGGGCTTTGCGCAACAAAAACCAGAAAACTCACCACAACTCCTGTAGCGCCCAAAGGAAACCCGAGGAGGGGAGGGGGGGAGCCAAGAAGGAATTTATCCTCTCTTTCTCTTCCACGTTTTTCTACCCCGGCCCCTGTCTCCACACCCCAAGAACCGAGAGTGTGAGCGGGGTGGGGGGACCTGGGTGATAGCAGAGGAGGGAAGCACGATCTGGGACACACAGCCAACACTTCGCGGTCAGTTTATCTGCTAAATCTAGGCAAGGACGGCACTCCCCAAAAAAATCCTTTCTTCGCCCAAACGTATCGTCCTTTCAGAGTGTACTTTCTTGGCCTTCCTGGGTGTTAAATCCCACGGTTTATCCGCTGTATCCGGGCGCGTCGGCCGACTATTCTAGTCCGCCATGTTGTGTGTCAGTCTGCATAGGAAGAATGGGAAGGGAACAGCAAATTCCCAAGCCAGGCCCCGTCTCTTCTCTACTCGGTTTCTCCACAGCCCGCAGTGACACCTGCCGGCCGAGCTGGAGCTTACACCTTCCCGACCGAGCCGCCGGAGCAGGGCTTCCCACACCGAGGAGCCGGGGACCTCCAGGGGTCCATGAAGGGGGCTCTGACTCAGTTTCAGTGTCCCTTTCTGCTCATCAACCCAACACCTGATGAAGAGGAATGTGACATACTTACATAGGCTATTGCTATTGTTACTTAATGTGTGTATGGATAAATAATTTAATAAAGTATATGTGGCATTACACAAGGTGGTTTGTGTTTCATGGGGACACATAAATTGTTCCAATCATAAATAAAGTGACTGAGATTTTATTGTGAACAGAACATATTATTGTAAACGTGAACTTAATGAAAAAGCTGAATCATAGGAAAAATAAATATGCTAACAACTGAGAAAAGAAAAGTACGATAACTGAATTCTTATACGCATACAAAGAATTACTAATTAAACACCTTTATACTGTGCTTTTTTAAAACTAAATGGTTGGAGGTAAAGTATGTTGTAAAGTACAACATTTTATAGTTATTTTTATACATTCTAATTATGTAACTAAATAAATATTATTTCTGGGCAAATCAAACTATATTTGTGACTTTCTACACGCTACATTTAACTACATTTTTGTCAGTTTCTGGGCTCTTTACCATACAGGTCAGGTCTGTTGCCCTAAAAGGTTGTTCAATGTGTTAAGTAAGATAAGGGTTTTAAAGGTAAAAGCTTACTACCATGTCAGATATTATCAATATTATATTAGTGGTAAATGTTAATATTGCAGTAAAAGTAATCAAATATTAAATATTGCCTCATAAGTGGAGAGGGATATTTTACAGCTCCAACTGTGGATCATTTACTAATTTAACAAGAAATTGCCAACAATGTTGATAAAAAATTAAACATGCCAAAAAAAACCTGATAACAACTTCTCAAATGCTCAAATATTTGCTAGTTTTCTTTTCTGACTGTTCATCAGACGACACAATTTGAATTGGGTTTAGGAAAATTGTGGCAATTTGAAAAAAAATGTTCTGGGCTTGTATAAACCAAATATAAATTATTGAAACCAAAATGAAAACAGTAAGTTGCAGGCCTACATACTATACACACTGTGCACTCGAGAAAAAGACCAGTAGAAACATTATGGATGTAGGCAGTTTTTTCTCTTCAACTATTCTTCTGCGCAAAGCAACAGTCCATCATATGTCTGTCACACTCTCTCATTTAAATTTCTTATATTCTCCAGTCAACCTGAGTTGCAAATGTTTGGACACAGAGGCCTTGGCTTGGATTCGAGTTCCTCGTGCTGTGAGGTGATGCGTGCTGACTGAGCCATCAGCAGTCATGATGAACCTTTTATGACACTAAATACTACATCAGTCTTCTATTAACAGTCAGGCAAGGATTTTGCACACAGGATGTCATATCTCATTTATTATTCATGCCTCATCATAAACAATGAAGCAATAAAGCTAAAACTTGAGGTTAATAAATAATATGATATACATACATCATGTTTTGACTGCTGGTTAATGTCCAGACATACAACCATTGAGTAGAAATGACAGGATCTTGCCAGAGATCAGAATGTGAATGGCTGGATTATAAGACAACATGTTCAACACATCTTTTCCCCTTAGATGTCACAGTTAAATGTATTCTGCTCAACTGCAAACCAGAGTTTGTGGATATCATAGCTGTGCATTACATCTGCATTTAACTGTGTTTAAGTTGGAATAATGTGTGTGAGCTGTTGCTGGAATATACTGTGTGCGTACAATCAGTCTGTGTAACAGGAAGTAAATAAAAAAGCCTGTGTGCGTCTCGGCAGCTGAGAGATTTGCAAATACAATGCTTAGACCGCCAGGTTAGCAATGACAGCTTGGGTGAACTCGTCGCTTGTTGCATAGCCTCCCAGGTCTCCAGTGCGCACCTGTTGCAAACATAAGGACAGTTTGTTACTATATGCACAGCTGCAGCAACACATGTCCACATATTAGAGCCTGCATGTTAGAGAGCCTTTAAAAATGCACTCACAGAATACAGAAATAGTGTGGTAAGTGAGTCGTACTTTTAGAAAGCTATGTTCTCTTCTTTATTTTCTCACAATTGTTTAACATTACTAGATGCTGAGAATTAAAATATACCAGTCAAATAAAATTCAACCAGAGTAAAATCCTTCAAAGTCCATCAGTGACTATTAAGAAAAGACATGTTAATATTCAATATTACATAACTCTTCTGACAACCTTTAGTAGGCAAGTAAATCTCCATGAAAGATTTGTGAACAAAAACGAAACTAAATTGGAGAAAGCAAAAACAATAAAGGACATGACAGTTTTCACTGGTGGGTGGAGTACATTCTCCAGAAAGGTTCAAGATATAACGGCACCAAAAGTCAAAACAAGAATACAGTTGCTAATATATTTTTCATAGTTATCTTTTATTTGTAGTTAACAGACTACTTGTGAAGTCTCTTAAACTGCGTACAGTGATACAAAAGCCTGACAGATGAAGTGGTGACATAGAGGAGCACTGTTTTAAATGTTTACAGCACCATCTTGAACAAAGCCTGTTTACATATCCACCATAGTCCTTGGAAATGATTTTTAAATATAAAAATACTGACTTTACCCACTTCATTTGCTGACACAAGACCAAAAACTGAACAGATAATCTACAACATAACACATTCATATTCATAATTCAACCTAGTGTATATGCTGCAAAGATGTTATTTTTTAAAAAAAAATTTTTTTTTTTTTTTTTTTTTTTTTTTTTTTTTTTTTTTTTTTTTTTGGAAAATTTTAATATTTTTTTTTTTTTTTTTTTTTTTTTTTTTTCATAAAAAGAAATTTTTTGTTTTTTTTGAGTTTTTTCAATAAGAATGTGTTTTTAAAAACATCAAGAGATGTGTAGGTCAGAAATGTTGTGGTGGGTCATGATGTAGCAATGTTATACTGTATATTAAGGTACAGTTACAGCCTTTAGATGATTCAGTTATGAGGCTATCAGAAAATGAGAAGAACTTGAAGCAATGTGGTGGTGAAGTGTGAGGCAAAAGCAGAGTAGCTGATAAACTGTTGATAAGGGCAGTCTAGTTGCTAACAATGTGTGATAGCAGAGAGGTAGCCTGTATGGCCAACACGGCTGAAACACTTGGACAACTGAGCAACAAGCACAATGAAATACAATAGAAAGAGATACTCTGATGGACAGTTGCTATGAGGAAAGATGTAAAAATGTGTAATATGAATCCTTGAGAACAAGCCTTACAGGCTGCACATTTTTAGAAATATATAAAAGCCCCATTGGTATAAATCATCATCATGATGCAACGGATGGTGCAGTGAGAGGGGAGGTGAGTCTTAACATGCGTCCAGTTCATGTTAAGAACAACATCCTTTTTTAAAGAAATGTCAGTGAGGAGTGCGATGAAACATCTTAGTAAACAGGTCGGTGACGCAGGTTTTCCACAACAGCATGCACAAAGTCGCCAGTGGTAGAGTACCCGCCAAGGTCTCGTGTCCGTACCTGCGACATCACACAGATACACACAAACACACATACATACAAACACAGGGGATGATGGGGTACAAGGAGAGGAAGGAATTCAAGGAAGGGGGAAGAGGGAGAGGAAGGGCACTTCAGACAACGTGCAGGCAAATTCTGCTTTCAACTGAAAGGCGTTCTTTAAAAATGATAATTTCTCACATTCACACAGCTGCCTCGAACACAACGTTACCCCAAGTGAAAGAACAGCTTTTGACACTTTTTATAGAAGAAAAAAAAAAAAATCAGTCCTGAAGCTGCTGTTGCTGAATCATTTTACAGCTGAATTAATCGTGCATTTTATCCAAAGGACTAAGGCCGAATGACTGCATGCTAGTATTCTTGTCAGTGTAAATTAGTGTCAACATGGAGCAGGTGTAAAAGGCAGTTAGTCCAAGGAGAAAAAAAAAAAAAAAAGATTGGTGGTTCTGGAAAGAAATGCATATACTTTTCACATTTATGAGGACAAAATTGAGGAATTGAAGAGAAATACAGGAATAAGTAAGATGCGTAAGTAAGATGAGCAGATATTCAATCTCAAATTAAGTAATCAAAGGCTCTCTAACATGCTGAAGTATAATTTGCAGGTTGTTAGATGAAGGCATGCATGGCTCAAGAGCTGCTATCATTACACACAACATGTTGGTGTCATCGCTGGTATCTGACCGATTTATGTGGAAAAGCTGCTCAGCTGTTCGGGGTCGCTTGCTGAAAATGATCAATTTATATTTTTCATTTTCTTCAGTGCCTGCAGCATTTTGACACTCTGCATATATTAGAAATACAGTTACTGACCCACACACTTCATCTATCTGAAGCAGAACCATGATTTATTTTTGCTCTGCTTGGATTAAGAGAAAATGTTCCTTCTTGGTGTTATGAGGCATGACAAACTGTCGCTCCACATTCACAGCCAGAATGTACCAGTGATCACACAGTAGGTAAAAAAAACAACTAATCACACACTCACACTCACACTTACCTTGCCCTGTTTGATGACCCTCTTGACAGCATCTGACACCATTTGGGAGTGATATTCCAGGCTGCAGCACAATACAGTGACAATTAAGAGGTGGCCAGAGCTGTCTTGTACATGTGTTTTCTAAACACCGTTTCCTAAAGGGGGAGGGAGGAGGGGGGCAGTTTTCTTACTATAGGACCTAAGAGGTTGACTCACTTGAGGTGCCTGAGCATGTTAGCAGCACTGAGCAGCATGGCTGTGGGGTTGGCGATGTTCCTTCCTACAGCTTGTGCAAAGGGGTGGCGTGCACCCTGAAAGAAAAAAAAAGAGAGAGAGGGGGGCTCCAGAATGATACTGTTGCATTGTTGAATAATCAAGGGTAATACCTATCTAAAACTAACTAACTCTAAACAGAGGAACAGGAAGAATTACTGACTAGATACACAGATGCAAAATAAATAAAAACAGTGGAAAAGGTCAGTGGAAACTCACAGTCTCAAACACAGCATACTCTGCACTGTAGCTTTCCCCAGGAACAACTCCTGCGCCTCCAACCAGCCCTGCTGCCAAGTTGTCGATAATGTTACCATACAGGTTGGGCATTACCAGCACATCAAACTGGTATGGGTTCTGGACCAGCTGCAGCAAAGTAACACAGACAATGATGTTTTAACACAAGAAATGGAAAAGTCAACCTGAAACCTAATCAGCAAATCAGTAATTAATAAGGTCAAGAGAGTGAGCTGTGAGGCTGTATATACCTGCATGCAACAGTTATCAATGATTATGTTCTCATATTTGATTTTGGGGTAGAGCTCTGCTATCTCCGCACAGCTCTGCAGAAACAGGCCATCAGCTAACTTCCTGTAATAAGAGAGGATGAAGACAAGTGATGCTGGAACCGTAATGCAAATCATCACCCAAATTAACACTATTTAATTAAATAAATAATTAATAAAAGGTATTATTTTCTATTTTCTTACATGATGTTTGCTTTGTGAACAGCGGTGACCTTGTTTCTCCCCTTCTTGGTGGCATAATCGAAGGCGAACTTGGCGATGCGCCGTGACTTCTCTCTGGTGATGATCTTTAAACATTCGATCACACCTGTCACACTCTACAGAGAAAGAAGAAAGTACATACATTTTAATACAGCCATTACTATTTAGGCATAGACTAACATCCACTTTGCAAGAGAATGAAAACATCACAACAACAGCTAAAGAGTCATTCTATGAGAAGCATTGAATGTTTAGTCCCTCGTATGAGTGAGAAGTGTTCAAAAGAAAAACCTTAATTAAAAGGCGCGCACACACAAACACAATGCATCATCTCGGTACCTTTGTCAGGGTGACTCATCTTTGTTTTGATACCCGGTTCAATGCTGGCCAAATCTCTGCCTGTTCAAGGGAAATCTCCCTCTTCAAAGAAAGAACCCTATCCTTTTCATGTGGTTTTAAAACCGCTGTTCAGCCTCTATGACTGCAGTGAGGAGGAGTGTTGTTTACCTCGTGCTCCAGGGAGCTGTACTCCCCCTCAGTCTGTTCGCGGATGATGACCAGGTCCAGGTTATTGTGGCGAGTGCTGTAGCCCGGCAGGCTGTTAACATGAACCACGTTAGCAAACAAGTCCAGTTTGCGCCTGTGGAATGGACAGGGGAGATAGAGTTATTTAAAAAAAACAAAAACACACACATAAAATGCACAAATAAAAATGCACAATTTGTTTTCTGGGTTTACCTCAGTCTCATCTCATATGAGGCCAGCTCGCCTTTGAACTCCATGGGTGTGTGAATCTTTCCTGGAAACCAAGCATGTCACAAACACATGTGTCTATTTCATTCTCTTAAAAACCTCATAACGTATTGCTGCCTTTTAAATAACTCATATTTTGTTGTTATTAAGAAGGAAGTAAACTAAAGCACTACATAAAATAAATGTATTATTATTGTTATGATTATTTTTTAGTAACTATGGAGGGGAGACCAAAGAAGACCAGTGAGCTACCTTTCATGGCCACTTTGTTGTTCTTCATAGAGGTTAACACTTGTTCCAGCTTCTCCTCACTGGCCATGTTCTGTACCTCGCTCAGGTGAAACTCCTCAAATTCTACCGGGACATCTCCTGCCTGGAGACGAGACAAAAACAAGTCAAGAAATGAAAAACAAATACATGACAGCATATACTAAGGCTGAATAAGCACAAAGTGAAGCAAGAGCAGGATAAAGATGAAATGTGAAACATAAAAATAATATGAGATACTCTATTTTTTGTATTTTCTTCTACTCGTAGCTATAGTTTGCCATGTTTTCTCAGAGGACAAAAGCTGTTCATGATTCCATCTGTCACTGTAAAATGTACCTTGAACACGTCCTTGACAGCAGTCATCAGCTCAGGTCCGACTCCATCCCCAGGCACCATCGTGACCTTGAAGGTAGCATCAGCGCGGGCTGGTGGGGCTTCTGGGCTACAGAGACCAGTAGACACACTCAGTGGTCGAGAGGCCAGCTGCTGCCACCGGGGGCCGCTCAGGCCCTGAGGATGGGAAAGAAGACACAGTCACAACAAGCACAATACCATGAGACGACATACTTTTGTCCATTTTTTGCCACATCGTAGTAGTTCTCCTTTAATATGTCAGGGTGCAATAATGATAATGGAGCTATTATTGTAGCAAAACTATTTACAAATGTGAGGAATCTGCAAATGAGTGTGTTCAGATCAGATTTGTAAATGTGAAAAAAAAAAAAATTGCATTTGCATTTTTGCATTTCCAGTCTGATGACAGGGAAGTCAAGGTGGTTTTCTTGCCGGGTTTGGCTCCTGGCCCCCTCGGAGCTGACTCTGCCGTAACCCCAGCTAGGGCCTTTGGAGGTCACCCAACCTCCCTCTCACTCCTCTCCACTTCAGCCTGAACCCCCAGAGCCGCTGTAAACCACCGTGGTACCGAACTCCCTGTCGTCAAACTGCCTCCAGCAGTGCAGAGGCTGTTTGGGCCATGTTTATTTTCCAAAGTACTGTAAGTTACTTATGACCTCAAGGCTTTTGTCGGACCGAAGTGGGCGTTGCTACTGAGGCACACAGACAAATCGCTCCTTAAAATGCCTCACAAACACAAAATGCTATGGCAGAAATGTAGCAAAAGTCACATGTAAAAAGAGCCAATTCAGAGTCCTGCCCGAGTTGTAACCGATGAATTGTCTGTATTTCCAGCTCTTGGAGCAAATACTTAGACTTCTCAGCCATTAATGTGTATGTCTGCACTTACAGATTTGTCTACAAATGTACAAATCTCAATACATTTGCAAATCTGATTACGCACACATATTGAGACAAAGTTACACAACTCTCCACTCACATTTGTAAATAGTTTTGCTACAATAATGGCTTGTGACCCCTTAAAAGGTCCAGTGTGTAACATTTAGGAGGTTCTAATGGAAAAAAATTAATATAAAATCCATAGGTATGTTTTCATTAGTGTACCTGAAAATAAGAATTGTTCATTTCTTTTTGGTTCTAGATAGGGGCATTCGTGTTGTTTGCCTCTGAATCAAATCTTGTGAACAGATCCTTTTGTGTAGAGCTTTAATGATTAGTCAATTAATAAATTATTTGAAAAACAGAAAACTAATCCGCAATTCCTGTCTGGTTAGTTTATGTATAAAGGAGTATGTTAATTGATTTTCCAGAAAATTATGTAGATCACAACATGTATCAATGTGACAATATAAAATTACACATACTGTGATAATATGATAATGGATTTTATCCATTTTGCCCCGTGCCAGTCACAATGGTGCAAATTTGAGTCGATAATATTGAGGTGGGCCGAGATGTGTGTAACTTTTTTATTTATTGCTGTAGACATGTTTCGAGAAGACCCTGAATGACCATCGACCACTGAGCAGTGGGCAAAATACACAATTCACTTCAACTGTCATCTGTCAGAGAGGCAACTCACCAACAAATACACCTGCAGTTTTAAAGTAGACTAATTAAAGATAATCTAAGAAAACCTCCCACTGACATTTAAGAATCTCACAAAGGAGAAAGCTGGAGATCTGACTGACAACTAACACAAAACTATCACACCAGAGGCACATTATCTTTAGTTAACAGATGAACCTGGTCTGCTCTTTCCAAGGCAGCTGGCTATCAGTGAGCTATCAGTTAGCTGGTGGTTAGCCTCAGTAAGTTAAGTGCTGCTGTGATGGATCACTGAGGACAGAGAGGTTAACTACATGCCAGGGTTAGCTAGCTCTTTTAGCTTCTTCTCTCACATACCCAAGACACAGTTTTTGTGTTGCTATTGATTTATATCTCCTGACAACCGATATTTTTTTTTCTCGCTGACCAACTTGACACTTTGAAGGCTAACGTTACAGGGGCCGTTCAAACGGAGGGTTAGTGACTGAGGCTCATTAGCAACAAGACACCGATGCCGGTCAGTCACAGTCTCTCGTCAACAGTTTATGGAAACGCAGTGATTGTGTTTTTACTAAATTACAACTTCAACCACACCAACTCTTTTCCTGTGTGTAAAATAAGCTTGTGAACATCGTCTATGCACTCACCTTGACCAATGTTACCAAGCTTCCTCTCAAGGCGGCCGCCATCGTTACGGGAATGCAGCGGCTGTGCTACTTCTTCTTCTGTGGTGCGGCAGCGGTGGAGCCACGCTAGCTTTAGGACAACAGAAGAAGAAGACAAACTGCTTTATTATAGTGCCCCCATTTTGACAGAGCAGTAAATGTATGTGCTGCGACGGGTGATAACTGCCTCTCCCTCCACTGGGGGAGGGCTTGAACACGGGGTTTCTTTTAAAATGTGATACAAATATGAATTACCTGTTGTAGTCAGTAACCTACTCCAACTATCACAATATTAAAGTAATGTAACTTGATTACTTTTTGTTACTTTTGGATTACCTCAAAACCAAGTATGCAAATAAAGACAAGAAAAAAAGTGTATTTTATAAGACAAACAATGTAAGCTTAGTAAAGATTACTGATTACATGTAATCTGTTACTCCCCACCCTGCTTACGTGACACAGTCACTAAAACATGTAGCTTATATCTTCGACTAAAAGCTAAACCTCTTTTAAAACGTCTTCTGAGACAAGAAACAGCTGTTGGGGAATAAAAAAAAGGGGAAATATTTGCATTGTGTGTAATAATCTAAACATCTGAATGTTGTCATTGCTTACACCTGAGAGAAAAGACAAACAAGACACTTACAAAATCTGTATAATGTTGTATCTGACAAAATGTCTGTATCTGTAGCTATAGGCCGCGTAGTGTACTAGCACAGTCTCACAAAACAAAACAAGTCAAACAGAAAAACAACACATAAGCAGGAAACTGTCTGTAAACCTTTATGCTTTATTCCCATTTGCATGGGTATAAGATCACTCTTTTGAAAGGTATTCAACTAAAGTTATGACGAGATAGAAAAGCAGGTTTAATGTGGATGGCAAATTGAATGTGAAGACAGAATGGCAGAGAAAGAAAGAAAGATATGGTGAAGAAGCAGGAAAACAATACAATTTGATCCAATACAATAATGTTGCAATAAATACAATCTGTATGTAGCGTATACTGTTCACTTCACTTTGAATGATTCAGGGGGAGCCCGGGAACATGCTGGGATTACAGTCATTGTGTCGGAGTTGTTGTTGAGCTGAGCTCAGGGGGGCCCAAAATGTCTGGTGGTGCCCTGTGTCCATCTTTATGTGGGCAGCTGAGGATGCACATTTTCACACTCACTTGTGAGTCTTTCTCAATATCTTGCCCATTGCTCATAATATTATCTTTCCAATTATGTGTTGTATAACTTCTGTATTGTTGTAACATTATATTTGCTGCTGCTATGGCCCACCCTCTGAAATGGGTCCATCCTAAATAGGTCAGGGGATTCCCAATCCTATTCCCGGCAAGTGAACGTCTCTAATGATACACAGAATGACATCAGATTTTAAAATCACCAACATGAAGCTGTAGGTCAGCAGTCACCCTCTGACATCTGTCAAATAGTCATCATTTACCTTATTGGGCATTTCATTTGGTTATTCATGCTGGCTTAATTTTCTCTGGGGGCCAAAGCAAGGCATTTGATGAAATGTGGAAATTTGGCCCTGAGTCAGACCTCTCAGGCTGTCCCACCTCTGTGCGCAAATCCCTCCTGCTTGGTTTGCTCCTCTCACATATGCAGCATCAGTTTTTCTGAAGTATAAAACAAGTTTGAAGTACCCAGAGGGTCTAAACACTCTGGCATATTCACATTATTATCACAGGAAAACAGTTTTTGTGTGCGCCTCCTTTAATATTGTGTAAGTGCTGCGTTGTGAACTTGATGTTCACGGTGCCCTAAGCAGAGTGGACCATTGTTTAGATTTATTGCACATGGACCTGAGCTATGAGCCCAGAATTGGTGGTATTGTACACAGTTATTAGGGCCTCATTGTTTTAATTAGCATCTTTGAGTTGACCAGGCATAAATGTAATTTTTTTTGCCTGGACCAAAAGCCCTCATCCGCATCGCAGATCTTGGCCAACTTCTAATTGGCTAATTCACTTAACTTGACTGGGCACGATCAGGGCTTATTAAAGGACAAAGAAAACAACAGCTATGTTTGCATCACCATTTTTTCCATCGTAGGTTTATATCTCAGTAAAGGCCCATTCTCCTCAGCAGTGGACACGTTGTCTGGACCAGCTGAGTTGTCTGTAACAATGCCATTTTCTCTGTTTAACATTTTTTCACTGATGAATGTGGACTAGTTTGACCGCTGACTGCAGTAAAGGTGAGGAGGCTCTCACAGTCTGTTAAGATATTACTCTCAAAGATGTTCGTGTTGGAGTTCTTTGCCTTCAGGAAGCTGTGGTCCAAAACCGGTCTGGAAGGCAGTGTTGTCATGGATGAACTGAAGAACCCACCTCAGGCAATGTTCCTCCTGTCTGGCCCAATTTATGAACTCCACTTTATGAACTGAACTCTCTTTAACTTTATTAAACAGGAGAAACTGAACTTGGGTATAGGTGAAGTGTTATCCAAATTTCCAAATCTATAAAATCAGCTTCCAGGTATAGGGTTTGCTTGCCCTGACAAAATGTATTCAAATATCTTATTAGGATGGAAATGTGTGTTTTACTAATCTTATGTAGGTCCAGATTATGTAAATGAAATGTTTAATAAATGTACTGCACTGTGTTTATTGGGGAACGAGACACATTTTGAGTTTTCCGAACATAAAATTTGACTTACTACAACACATTTGAACACTAAATAAAACTGGAAAATCTTGTCATGTAACTTAAAATGCTGAATCTGGCAAAATATTTTCTTTCGAGTAGTACAAATACTTTTGCTTTTACTGTATTGAACTTAAATTGTTACTTGTAATCTATGAGCATTTAAATCATTTTCACACAAAGATGGGTGAAAAGAAAATTACTTGTGTTTCTGAATTTACAGAACTATACAATAAAACATTTGACAAGACTAAAAAGATAGTCTTGGTGAAATAGGCAGATGCAGCTTCCTGGTTTGTTACAAAAAAAAACCCGATTTAAGTCTCTAATAGTAGGGCTATGCTGCTAGCAGCATTAGCATTGTAGCTGGAGGTGCAGGGCAGCACCTGAAACCCCTGAGTCAGAAATAATGTGCCAACCAACCAACCAACCCTTGTTTTTCCTCTGTGAATACACATTGAACTCTGTTTAAAATGTATTTCCAGAATCTATAATGAACCTCTAACTATCTGGATGAAAACATATTTAATTTCCTGCATTATATTAATATTTCTAACCTGTTTCCCATGTTATTCAAATAAAGATGGTTACCAGAATATGTCCGGTTCAGTTTCAATTTGGGCATTGTGAACAGAAATTAAACACTTTTCTTATGAGTGTGCCTCTATATTAACATTTCTTTTAATCATTTTATGAAATCTGAATTAGAAAATTGTTGCAATTTGGGAAACTGAATATTATTATTATTATCAAGATGGCTAGATCAAAAGGCTTATTTTTTTTTTTTTAACATTGATTTATTTCTCGGAAAAACAAAACCCTGTTACTTGAATGTAATGATGCCAGAAGAAAAGCACACATGGGGATAACCCAGCCAGTTTGATCATTGGAGTTTAGAGATAGTATAATTGCCCTGGAGCCTGAAAGACAGCACGAAGGGATAATTCATCCCAGAGGGAGCAGTGCATGGCTAGTGGCTGACAGCCGCAGCGTAGTATCTGAGTTTACTATATATGGGCAAAGCCAGGCAGAGCGAGAGCTGCACTCGCTTCCGTGTTTGTGTGATCAGGGAGTGCACAGCCGGGGGAGCTTCACTGTCTCCACTGTTTCATTCATTTACAAGAGTATCGTTAACCAAGTGACTGGCAGGGAAAATGTCGTATGAACTGAGTAAGTGTCTTTATTTTTAATAGCAACGACTGGGTAAAAAAAATGGAGTGAAACTCTTGTTTTTCTTCTTTTTTTTTTTGCGACACTGTTCAGCTGATCTAGCTAGTGAGCCAGGTAGCCCGTAGCTAGCTAACCTCGCCCATAGCTGCATGATTTTGACACTTAATCTCGCACACGGAAGACTAAATCCCGGCATTGGCAGTGTTTCTGTCAGAGTTTAATATACAGCAGTGTGTGTCTGAGCACAGTTTGTTGGTAAGATGCTTTGGCTGAAAATGCAGCTCATTACAGACGGTTCATTTAAGTTAGCGTTAGCTAGTTGAGCTAACGTCATTCAGAGGAAATAGTTGTGCTCACATCGTATTGTTGTGACATGCCCAGACAGAGGCTGACTGGCCGACTGTCAGACGCTTCTGCAGGGGAAGTAGCTCATAGGAAGTGCTGAACAAGCGTGAGGTAGAGAGTTTGGGCTGTAATTTTAATATCGAAGTGGTGGAGATAAGAACGAGGCTGTAAGAGAGAGAAAGAAAACAGTGATTTTAGAGCCAATGCGGAGGCCAAGTACATGCACCAACCTCCCGACAGCTGTCCTGTTAGTTTAAGAGTTAATGCTCTTCAGTTCCTGCTCTCATTCTTTATGATAAACAGGAACGGGTTCTTTTTGTGGTTGAATTCAGAGTTATTTTATATAAAACGTAACTCAGATAATTGTAAGATTAAATATGTATGCTTGTCTTTCATCTTTACGATTATACATTCTACATTAAAACCAGCCCTTCAGTTATCAGTAATAAACTTGAAAAGCTCTTGCCACAATATAGTAACAATCCCAAAAAATGAAGCTCAGTTTCAGGAATTGCATTTATATCCTTCTTGTTTAAAAAAACTGATAACATTAATGTTTAATCTTAAATGATTGCACAATTGTTTTTTTAATTTAGTATTGAGGTCTCCTGCCGTATTCTTTTGTTTTGGAGAAAAATGAACCTCTCTTGGATACTATAGGGCTCTGAACTAAATTGGTCTGAACCTCAACTTGACTAATAAGGACAGACCTGGCTGTTTGGTTAAAGTGTCTGGAAAGATCAGTGGGGTCAAAGGCCACGTTTAACACATCCTCATTAGTCCTGACTAAAGAAGAACGAAGTGATGCTGGTTCACTCTGCATCCTAATACTGTATCTGAAACCACAGTCTGTCTGCAGCCAATGCCTTATGCAATAACTCTATTAAATAATTTTTGTATGTATGCTTATTTAAGTTGCATTAACCTTAATGCTTTACATTATCTGTCTGTCATCTTTCTTGTCACGTCTATTTTTTTTAGAACATGTATTCGCCAGTCTCCCCCAGATGGAGAGGGGTGTTGCCAAAGTGATTGGAGGTGATCCCAAAGGCAACAACTTCCTGTATACCAATGGGAAGTGTGTCATCATCAGGAACATTGAAGTAATTTCCCTTTTTTTCCCTCATATTAATCATACTGATGTTTTACTTACTAATAAATGTACATGATTGTTGAGTTTGATGGGTCACCAGTTAACACCAACCTCAAAAGCATAATTTCACTCACCCTCTGGTTAAAAGCTTCCTGTTCATTGCACCTGACCACACTCAGAGTCAGTGTAAGAGTGGTCAGTGAGCTCATTGCTAGTTTACATTCTCTTGACTTAGTTTCCATTTCAGTCTGGCACCAAATGGCCTATGTTACTTACGGTGACCTGATTTGAAGATAACACGTGTAACAACATCATGGCCATACACTAGAGACTAATAAACACTTACTACAAGCTTCTTAAAGATGAATCAAAGTTTGGCTGCAATGATAGTTGAATTAGGTGCATGCAAAGAATAGTTGAGCACGTGTAGAATTTTGCACTTCCTTATATTTAACTTATTCTAGTTCAATAATTTTATAAGACATCTAAGTGTGCTACAGCAGCATCTCCATTACCTGCTGCTGCTTGATTGTCAGCTGATAGGCACCTAACATCATACCTGCTGCCTCATTTGCCACCTGCACTCCCTTTTAAGAGTTTTCCCCCACCCATATCACCATATAATATGCGGCACAATGGCAGCGCAGCCTCTGTTGCACATGTAACCATACCTATGGGTGATGTCATGTTGTATTGAACAACAGCAAGGTGAAATCAGTAATAATAAGCTTTTAAACATTTCCAAGTGTCAAATGTTATCATGACCAATAGGCATAGAGTCCAAAACCCTGAAAATAAGGTCCAGATTAACAAATAATTTGTCAGACCTTTTGATGTCTCACATTTCCTGTCTTTTACAGAACCCAGCTATCGCAGACATTTACACTGAACATGCCCATCAAGTTACAGTTGCCAAGTATGCCCCGAGTGGATTCTACATTGCATCTGGAGGTAAAAAACCCCACCTATGAATAAGTGTGTGCATATAGTTACCACAGTAATGTTGATACTAAAACACTTGCTTTTTAAATCCTTCAGATGCATCAGGAAAGATCCGTATCTGGGACACCACCCAGAAGGAGCACCTGCTCAAGTACGAGTACACCCCTATTTCAGGCAAGGTCAAGGACATTGCATGGACAGAGGATAGCAAGAGGATTGCTGTTGTTGGGGACGGACGAGAGAAGTGAGTATGAGGGGTTTTCATACATGTTCAAGAAATGAAAGGAGGCTCATTAAACTCACCACCACCGTGACTCAACCTCTCCAGGTATCGCACTGATTAATGCCCACTGTACACAAGTACAATGTTTGCTTTAGATATTTTTATATTTAACATGCCATGGTGGTGGAATTATATAATTGAGTGTCTTGCTTGATGCCAGAAACATCACAGGAACCTGAAACAATTGTATGCATGCTCATCTCTTGTTGTAGGTTTGGTGCAGTGTTCCTGTGGGACTCTGGCTCCTCAGTGGGGGAAGTGTCCGGCCATTCCAAATTAATCAACAGTGTAGACATCAGGCAGAAACGCCCTTACCGCCTTGCTACTGCCAGTGATGACACCTGTGGGTCCTTCTTTGAGGGGCCTCCCTTCAAGTTCAAGTTCACATTGCGTGTGAGTTTAAGAGATGAACACTTGCTTTTTCCCTCTTAGGTATTTGTGCAGCTTTTGTAAAGGGGTATTTGTGTTTAAACAAAGTAGTTAGAGCCAAGTTGATTTTACCGGACCTGTCAGACCAATCAAAGACTAAATATAATCTTCAACTTGCAGTCTTAGTAGTAAGAAATATTGCAGACAAGGTAGTGGGTTAAAACTGTTTCTGTACCCTTTGAACCAGTCGTCTTATTTTTAATGCCCACTGGTCATCTCAAGTCTGCCACACCCTGGTGTTTTTTTGACAGTGTAGCCTTGTTTGTCCGTTTCCATGTTACATAACCCACTTCCCCCATAAATTCTTGGAGAATGTGTGAGCCACATTCCTAAAAGCAGGCCTTCCCTCTAGAAACATGTCAATTTTATGGTCTGTTTTTAGAATTCAGTCTGCAAGTGGTATTTTAGGGCCAAACATGGATTACATTCTGTAACACTGACCTAGGTTGGAATAGTTGCATTGGGAATATGTCATACAGTAGGTGCATAAGCCCTAAAGGCTCTTTTTTGTTATGCATAATATATATATATATATTTTTTTTTTATTAAATCACAGCATCTCTTTGCTTTTAGAACGGCATCATTAGTTTTTCTTGCACGTTTTAAAGTCAAGCAGCACATTCAGTCCTCTCAAGTCCATGTCCTGCTGTCTTGATGTTATTCTGCTCATGACCTCACTGACTCAACAGCTTCTGGCATGGGTAGTAGAGGAATCTGTGAAGTATAGTATGTGTGACAGTTCATTTAGATTCCAGACAGCCCCCCAATATATTTTATTTATCACAAACAATGCTGTTTTGGGACAGCAGCAGCAAACTGGTTTGATTAGAACCTTCTTTTTAACTTGTAACAGACTTGCAACTTTTGCAATGTGCACTGCACTGCATTTTCTGTAAGATTATAATTTTGTTAACCAACCTCTGTCATGAGGATGATCAAGAATGATGCATTTGTTTCATTTGCCAGTTTGATCTGAATGTCATGTTGTAATATTGAGTTATTTAATGGACTGTGTATAAACTTTCACAATCTTTCTTTGAGTAACTATTTTTCTTCCCTCCTGTCTTCCGGGTGACCACTACAGGACCACAGCCAGTTTGTCAACTGTGTTCGTTTCTCTCCTGATGGCGGTCGGTTTGCCACAGCTAGTGCTGATGGCCAGGTGAGTGTTGCATTACCAGGCGTGGACATGTGACTGTATGGAACATTGTAAAGTAAGATTATCTCTGCCAAAATAATCTAAGTAACTATCACTGTAATATTTACTAAAATAATACAAATATGATTTAGGATTGTCACAACCTAATTATACATAAACAAAAACTAGTTGTGTACAATCTTCTTAATGAGTATGATTTCAACAGATTTTCATCTATGATGGAGCAACTGGTGAGCGTGTGAGCTCACTGGGTGGAGAGAAGGCCCACAAAGGAGGAATCTATGCTGTAAGTTTTTTTAAATTTATTTTTTATTATATATATAAACAAATTGACACTGCATACAGTATATACGAGTATAATATAAGACAGTCTGTCTTGTTTGAACTTAAACAAATGATCACTTCAGTGTTTAACCTCTTTGTCATTCTCTGACATGATAACTTGGTTAGCTGGGTGGGTTTCGTTAGCATGCAGTCTGAGTGTGTGGACACAGAAAAAGCTTCTTTCCCTATTCAAATAAGGGATTATTTGCTCTGAAAGTGGCCTCCTTTGTCCTCAATGTACTGACTACTTAACTACTGTTTTAATAGAACATTTATAGGGCACTGAACATTCATTACACACACAATTTGTAACTTTGGTTACACGCATATTAATATCATAACTTTTTCTTTCAATCCCGTCTGCTTTAAATCCTCCAGGTCAGCTGGAGCCCTGACAGCTCCCAACTGATCTCTGCCTCAGGGGACAAGACCGTGAAACTCTGGGATGTTGGTGCAGGTACGGCCGTCACCACCTTCAACATGGGCACTGATGTGACAGACCAGCAGCTGGGCTGCCTGTGGCAGAAAGACCACCTCATCAGCATCTCCTTGTCAGGATACATCAACTATCTGGACAAGAACAACCCTGATCGGCCCATACGCACGGTCAAGGTCAGACTCTCAAGATATACAGGGATATCATCCATAGAGTTCTGCTTTTAAACTGAAAACATGTTAATATTGAAGCTGAATAACATTTGCAAACATGCGGCAATTATACAGTACCCAAATATAACCACAAATAATAATATAACTCTCAAATCACCATTAAGCTGTTTTAAAAAAAAAAAATTCTGCTTTTAGATTTGTATTTAGATCGGTAAATGTGAAAATGTGTGTTTTTTTTTTTTTAAAAATGAGAATACAAATCTTATTGTAGCATACGTGTACAAATCTGTACAAAATATACATAGATGAGCAAATGGTCATGTATGTATATTTTCACTATAAAAATCTCACAATATACACACTTAAGGTAAAACAATATGTTGTCAAGAGCGCTATCTTTTGTAAAAAAAAAAAAAAAAAAAAAACAGCTCTATAGCTCTGATCTATTTTTAATTTATTCTTAAAAACAACTGTCCTATGACTTTGGGAGATAAAGCAGTTTTTCACTAGAGCAGAGACAAGCTTAGGACTGGCACACACATTTGTCAGGTGGTGTAAAATTACATTATTCCTCTTTAAGCTCCAGTCCCTTAAAATGTCAGCCTAACCCAGGCCAGGACTAGATTTGATGCATTAAAGTGTATTATATGTCGCAGAAGGACAGAGAATGCCAGTCACTGTATCAGGTTATCAGTCAGGTAGCTTTTACTGGATTTAATGTGCTGCCAAATGTTTGAAGTGAAATGTCTAACATGGCTGGCGGTTAATATTCTGCATTAACTGTCTAATGGCCCTTTTTATAAGTGTGTCTGAAAACATGTACTTGTTCATCCTACAGGGTCACAGCAAATCCATCCAGTGTCTGACAGTTCACAAAAGTGAAGGCCGATCATACATCTACTCCGGGAGTCACGATGGACACATCAATATCCTTTCACTAATTAAGTGGTGCCAAGAATGATTGTAAAGGTCTCTTAATGTCCCATTAGTCTTTACTGTATGTAGACTACCTTTGACTATTCAGAGCTTCTCTGGCTGATGTAGAACAAATTGAATTTTCTTTTAATCTCCTAAATACACTACACATTATATTACAGGTAAAATTAAATAATATTGTAGAATAAAATGGTCTTCAAAAAAAATTAAAAATAAAATGGTCAGGAGGGTGGAGGCAGCACTAAAGTCTAATAGAACTAAAACTGAAGGTTTGCCACACACTGGTCATGTTGCACAAATTAAATAATTATAAATAATTATCTGTGAAATGGAAATGAGAATTCATTTGAAGCTTAAATGAGAGAGGAAGCAGAGTATGGAAAGTTGTTCAAGCAATTTGGTTCTAATTTTGGCTTTTAAAGTGAAGATTGAACATTCACACTCTTTAAAATAGGCAGGGGTGGAATTTTAATATATAATTGACAACTGAAACCTTCAGCAAATAATATAATATATATAATATATTTAAATATGATTTAAAATATAGTTGGGAGTAGTAGTTAAGGACTTTATCCCAGCAGTCATTTTTCAAAATATGACTGAATTGCTTGTAGTCCTTAGTTGAGGGATCAGTGCTAAATGGCGAAATTTCGGTGGTACAGTCAATAGTACTCTTTATAGAGTGATGGTGAGTTCTTGCCTCCTTGGAATCATTTGATGCATTGAAGTGTACAGCTAGTTCAGGCGGCCCCACGCTCACCTGTTGTAGTGACTTGCTGACTCCGCTCCGCTACCTGTCTACAGTTGATTGTTTTTCCCTAACGGATGTCTCACATTACTGGGATGCAGCAACTGGGGAGAATGACTGCTTCTCGGGGAAGGGCCACAGCAACCAGGTGAGCAAGGTGGTGACTGACGAAGCCGATGAGCTGGTGACGTGCAGCATGGATGATACACTGCGCTACACCAACATCAACAAGAAGGAGTACAGGTAAGGGTCGTTACGTGTTGCTGTGCAGATGACGACAACAAGATTAATTTAGTGGGGATTATAATGATTGTAATAGAAGTCCATCTGGGCAGGGCAGATGTCTGGATAAAGCAGATTATGTTTTTAAGCTTTACATTTTCCAATGCTTAATGATCTGTGCTTTAGAAAATACTTGATGATGTTCCTTGGTAGTGTTTATTTGATTTCTGCCACAAAGTTTACTCAGAGCAGGTTGGCAGTGTTGGTTCTGAATTGTTATTTTTAGGAGAGGGTGAAACAGTCATTTTATAAGCAGTTTTTCCCCCCGTATGCATGAACATGTACTGATATGCAGTCCAACGGTAGGATTATAGTCCAGCATCAATATGTGTCCAGCATTAACTTTAAACAATTTTATGTTATATAAGACTTGGAGTTATACTGTATGTGTCAATGGAATATCTGTCTTGTTTTTCTTTTACCTCAAATTGGATATTGTCCTTCATAATTTTGTAATTTGTCCACCTCTAAATGCTATAAGGCCTATTTATGATGTAAATAACTGCTGGTTTACAGTGCCTCTGACGTGGTGAAGATGGATTTCCAGCCTAAAAGTGTGTCTGCAGCAGCTCGAGGGCTGTCACTGGCTGTGTGCATTGGGCAGGTAATGTCTTTGTCTTATTGATCATTGCCTATAGCGTACCCAAGTTCTTAGTTCAGTCTTTAGTTGTTTCCCCTGGGAACACATTTTAGTATTTCCTAGGTTTGACATCCTCCTACTGGTGTTTTAGTCCTGTCAAGTCTTGGTGTCTGCAAATGTTGTTTTATTTTAATCATCTCCTGCTTTCTCTAGGTTGTCTTGCTGAAGGACAAGAAGAAAGTCTTCACACTGGACAATCTCGACTATGAAGCAGAGGTTGGAGTTATCCACCCTGGTGGTACCACTGCTGCGGTGGGGGGAGCAGTAAGTGGACCTCTACAACAGGAGAATTCTTCTGAGTTCAGGGGAAAAATAGTATCAACATGGTGTTAAATAATCATCTATTTTAAGTAACCGTCACAGGAAACGGTTCCAGCATGCTCTTCATCACATCCTGGTGACATTATATATCATTCTTTTTTTTTTTCTCCTTAGGATGGGAAAGTCCATCTGTACTCCGTTCAGGGCAACACTCTGAAAGACGAGGGGCAAACTATTGAGGTTAAAGGGCCGGTCACAGACATGGCCTACTCTAATGATGGAGCCTATCTGGCTGTCATAGATGAGAAGAAAACTGCTGCAGTTTTTGATGTGGCTGACGGCTACTCGGTAAACATTTTTCTGTTTTATGTATCCCTTTTGTGGATTAGAGCAGTTTCATATAAAGGTGTCATTGTCTCCTTTTTATAATCGCTCACTTTTTTTCACCAGGTCAAAAATGAGTTTTACGGACACCATGCAAAACCAGTGAGCTTGGCCTGGTCACCTGATAACGAGCACTTTGCGACTGGTGGGATGGACATGATGGTGTTTGTCTGGACAGTTGGTGATGCAGACAAGAGGATTAAGGTCCCAGGTAGGTCATATAAGTGCACATGTGCATTCACTCTTGCTTGGCTTGCACACAGGTATACACTGATGTATTTGAGGTTGCTGTATGAGGTATATAAATCCACTCTGAACAGAATTCAAACATGCAGAAACAGGACATTTTGAGCTGAGCTAAATTATGCATTTAGAGCATGTAGCTGGGTTTAAAGTTGTAATCCTTAAGATTTTGATCCTGGTTGATATGGCGACACTTGTTACATGACAAAAACTGAGCAGCTATTTTGTCAGAAATATATATATCTGCTCTGGTTTTCTGAATTAAAGACTTACTAAGTCATAAATATAATATACTTTTACATGCAAAAAAAACCAAAACAAAACCTGAACCTAACCCAAATCCTGTATCCAGCCTCCAGTGAGCTCCAGCGGGCTCATGCAGGGCTCCGTCTGCCCTGTTCACCCCCTGGAACATTGCTGGAGTACTGGAGGGAGATCGAGAGAGCAGCTGTTTACAGTGCAGCCAAACAAACAGAAATAATCTCTCCTCTGATCTGTCCTATTCTGCCCAAGTATTTTCCACACAACAGCAGGTTGCCAGTTAGTTAGCTTGCAGAGGAGTTGTAGGCGTGCAGCCTGTCGCCTGCTTCTCTTCACACCTCACTGGCTGTTCCATTACTCCCTGAAGTATTTAAAACTGATCCACTGACAAAATATGCTTAAAATGACCATGTCTTGTTTTTAAGATATTTTTATTTTCTTAAGAATTGAAACTTAAAGTCATTGCTCAATGTGTATTGGTTGTTGAGCAAACTGAACTTGGCTGTAAATGTTTATCTTTAAATTAAACACTTGTGTGTTGATACATTGTAGTAAAAAGGTTGTTTCATGCTTTGTTGTCCGCAGACACTCACCGGTTGCACCATGTTAGCAGCCTGGCCTGGGTAGATGAGCATACTCTAGTCACTGCCTCCCATGACGCCAGCATCAAGCAGTGGACTATTAAATACTGAGCTGGAAGCAGACAAACATCCACATCTCCAGGGACAAGGACTACTGTAGACTTCAATCTTTCTTTTTTTAAACTGTATTTTCACTGTCTAAACAGTGTTCTTTGCTGTCTGTAAACATCTGAATTGTAAATGGTTATGGCTGGGAAAGCTCCCATAAAAAATATCCAAGATATGTCTCTTTGATGTGAATAACCTCAACTTACACAGAGACAAAATGTTGAAATATACAATGTAATCATGAGTGCTTTTACATCTCTTTGAGCGTTATGGACCCAGATAACTATTTGTAAGCTAACATTCCATAGGTAATAGCTTTCACTCAGTTTAACTGAAATCCTTGTCTGTGGATGGGCTCAGTACATCCTAACTTAACGGATGAACCGAAAGCGAGTTGTATTTTAAAATCAACAAAATCGTGTTTGAAAGAAATGAAACCTTTTGGTTACATTCCTGAAATGAGAAGTAACTGGTCCTAACTGAACTTGCCTGTCACTTTTTTTTTTTCTCAAGGTTTTAAGGGGATGGGTGATTTTTGCTTTTTGCTTTGTCCTAGGTTTCATACTCTGTGATTCACAATTCTTCCTGTTGGACTGGGGGAGCAATAATAGGAACTGAAAGAACAAAGTATGTGTACAATCGAGATGCGGTCTGTTCAGTTGAAGGTCCTGTGTTGTTGCTGTGTTTTTGTTTGGGCCCACTATGCTTGTCTCACTTATTTTTTTCAATGTCTTTATGCATCCGCTTCCAAAATGGAAGTGATGATGATGATGATAATAATAATAATAATAATAATAATAAAAAAACACTTTTTATGCACTTTCCCTTTCATGCAGATTTGCACTCTTTATATTTATAACAAATAACAAATGTGTGTGCAGGTTTTCAAGTGAGATTTTCATGGCCTTAAAGAGCATGTTGCACTGTGGGTATTGAGTAGGTTGTAAAGACTGAGAGGAGCAGATAAGAAGGCCATTTAACATTCCAGGTCTCAATTAGTATGTTGGCCATTATGTAATTCATATCCCCGGATTGGACATTCTCTTCCATGTCTCTTTCCTTTCTGTCTCCTTTTATTGTAAATGGTCTGGGAAAGCAGAAATAATTGAGAAAAGTATCTTTAAAATGTTGCTCTTAAAATACTTTAAGGCTCTGGTGCTGTACTGCTCACCTAGATTTTTAAAATGCTTTAAGAAATATTTCTGAAGTTATGTACAGTGATATACGTTTAACGTTCAAGGGGCAACAAATCATTCACTGATATTTATAGTCTTGATCAGATTAATGTTGAAGCCACTGACCGCACAATATGAAATTAATTATTAATGCCTTTTATTGATGACATTTAGTTTATGGTGATATAAAATGTAATACAGTGTTCAGTTGTAAGTACACTAAAAGGCTTCACAGTAGACTCAATGTTACACTTGGTGCCACCTGAAATATTTAAAAGTAAACTAGATAATGTGCTTTTCTCACATCAGTGCCCTCTTAGCAAGACAGGGTGCTAAAGTATCTAACAGGTGTAAATACACTCCAAATTCTTTCCTGCACCAACATGATAAATTTCAGTAAATGAAGTTAGCCAGCTAGTTCTCATGTGATAATGGTGTCTTTTCAGTTATGTGCCTGCACTTACTTTGGTTGTGGATTTTGCAATATAATTGTGGATGGCGGGAGTCCCGGGAGTGGTTGGTGAGTTTTCTTTCCCTAATGGTTTTTCTGTTTACAGAATGAATGATCCTGCTTAAAAGTATGTATTTGCGAGCCTTTTAGTTTCCCCATTCATTCACAATAACTAGTTATTGTACAGTGATATACTTTTAATGTTCAAGGGGCAACAAATCATTCACTGACATTTATAGTCTTGATCAGATTAATGTTTAAGCCACTGACAGCACAATATGAAAGTAATTATTAATGCCTTTTATTGATGACATTTAGTTTATGGTGATATAATACAGTGTTCAGTTGTAAGTACATTAAAAGGCTTCACAGTAGACTCAATGTTACACTTGGTGCCACCTGAAATATTTAAAAGTAAACTAAATAATGTGCTTTTCTCACATCAGTGCCCTCTTAGCAAGACAGGGTGCTAAAATATCTAACAGGTGTAAATACACTCCAAATTCTTTCCTGCACCGACATGATAAGTTTCAGTAAATTAAGTTAGCCAGCTAGTTCTCATGTGATATTGGTGTATCTTCAGGTTTGTGCTTGCACTTACTTTGGTTGTGGATTTTGCAAAAGTAGTTGTGGACACTGGGAGTCCTGAGAGTGGTTGGTGAATTATTGTCAGTTATACATTTGGTGCTCAAAGGATGGAAAAAATTATAATTAAGGTAATTATAGATGCATCATTTTGATTGTTTACAAGTCATATCAGTAATTATTCTAAAATTGTAGTTACATACCTTTAAACAGAGATGTATTTAAGTATTTTTGTGTTAAAGTGAGTTGTAATCAAAGCAAAATACTTTTGGTATTTTAAATACTGACCATGACACATTCTACTGTATTTGGATATTTTTCCTTCTTTCCTGAGGATTCTTTGAGGAGCATATGGTCTTTATAAATTCAAAGCATGTATGCCTCATTTACAACAGACTAACTTTTTTATTTAATAACCAACAGGGAGTAACACTAAATACTACAATTTACTCCCACAGGACTATACATACATATCACACGATTATGCGAGCATATAAATGAAAGATTTACGTAATTTGGCACAGCAGCATAATAACCACACAGTCGCACAGCTCACACTCACAGCATAATATTTCCACCCATATTCCCAATAACCAATAACAATCAACACTGCTTTGAATATAAGGTACTATAACAAGGTAACTAATAAGTAAGCCATTTTTTTCCCTTATTCTAGCATCAATGATACTACAAACACATTCAAAAGTTTGTTTTTTTAATGTGAAGATGAAACCACATTATCATCAATACCTTGTTGCTGCTGTTTACATTCCCCCAGACACAAATTAAAAAGATGCACTGCAGGATTATCTTATTTTCTGGGTGTATACATATATGTATGTAAAGAACTGTCTGTGTTATATTCTAACAGGTAGAATAGGCTTCTTCCAATTCTCCAACTGTGGGTGGTTGGGTTCACAGCCGTGGTCCAGCTGTCTGTCCTCTACTTTTCCTTTCTGAGTTTTAGTATATATTCAGAATAAATAGCCATTGCAGGTAAAGGACCAGTATGTAGGATTTAGTTTAATCTAGCAGTGAAATTTCAGATTGCAACTAACTGAACATCGTTCGCATCTGTATTTGACAACCTGGAAATGAGAATGGGCTGTGGCTGCAAAACTCCCCTGTCTACAGACAGTGTTTGATTTGATCTGCAGCATCTGTAGATAAAGACGTCTCATTGTAAGTTAATGAAAACACAATAATTCCTATATTCAGGTGAGTATACACTAATGAAAACATACCTATGAATATTAAATTGTCATTTCTAAATGTTACACACTGGACCTTTAACCCACACTGACTGCTGTGGCATCTTCAGCCCCTGTGTTTCAATTCAACTAGTAAATTCCAGGTATTTAGCGGTCCTAAGAATTACACAGGGATAAAAAAAAAAAAAACAGACTTCTCATGTTCCATCAATCTAAACACCATATCCCGAATATGCTCAAAACCGGGAGGCTAATTTCCCTCTACACATACTTGTGATGCTGTGGTTAGACGTAAAACAGGCTTAATTTCTTTCTTTCTTGGTTCATTCAATTAACAGAATTGACACACTTTCAGTCACATGTCAAATAGGCCCAAAAGAGTGTATTCTCAAATCCAGTTTCCTTCCAGTCCCGCTGCTCCAGGAAGGAGGGAGGAGGGTAAAATATCTGTGGTAAAAGCTAAGAGAAAATACAGTCAGCGAGGGTTGTATTTCTCTCACAATGTTTATGCACAGCTTTTTCTTCAGAGATAGGTTAGAAACTGCTAAAGGTCAACCAAGGAAGCATTCCTCCCTCTCCAACACCACAGGTTAGTGGGTCAAACAATAATCTGCCTACTGGCTAACTATATTGCACATACTGACTTGTCAGTTCAATGAACACCATCTTTTGTGTTGGAATACATTTGGAATAACTAATAGCTTGGCAGGGTTTGTCAGAGCAGCCTGTAAGAGGATAAAAAGGAAGTGGAACATAAACATTCATGTAGTTCTTAAAAAGTGTAATTTTGCTTGATGTTAGGTTTGATGCAGGATAGAATGTGTCAGCAGCTGTTTAGACACTATAGTAAGAAAATCCACCTTGTGTTGTATGTTCTTTTTTTTTTTTTTTTTTTTTACAATTTTTAATTAGACTACATTACATAAAGCATTGTTGCTGTAAAAAAGAAATGGTTCAATGGGCAATAAAGCTCGTTATATGATATCGGAAAAGAAGACGGCCTCCCTTAGCAGCACTCACTGTGGCTCCAACCACAAAAACTGGTTCATGTCCAGTTTCAGTAAATTAAGTTAGCCAGCTTGTTCTCATGTGATAATGGTGTCTTTTCAATTATGTGCCTGCACTTACTTTGGTTGTGGATTTTGCAAAATAATTGAGGACGGCGGGAGTCCCGAGAGTGGTTGGTGAGTTTTCTTTCCCTAACGGTTTTTCTGTTTACAGAATGAATGATCCTGCTTACAAGTGTGTATTTGTGAGCCTTTTAGTTTCTACATTCATTCACAATAACTAGTTTGTAGATAGCCATAGCAGTACAAACAGTTCTCTGTGGGGACTAGATGACGCTGTGAGAAAGTCAATGTTTAACATAGCTGCTCAGTTTTAAGGACCATGCACCACCGCAGGAAAATGTGATCTTTCAGGTAAAGCCAATGTAAGACATAAAGACTTTGAAATGTTGGCAAAATAAACAGAGTGCATTGCCTACTTTTTCGGACATATGTCACAAGGGCAGCAATACTCAATATAATGCTGATATTGTATATATTATACATGTGTTGTATGATATGACAGCAATCATTACCTGATATTTCACAAACCGTTGAAATTGAAATGTAAATATAAGTCATTTTGTCATCTCAGATACTCAGTGGTTTGGCACAGTCTGCCTGTGGAATTCTTTTTCCTGCTTTCAGGTCCACCCTCACCCTAGGAAACATTATACAACTGTTACCTAGACTCCAGGGCTGAGAAAAGATGTCCCAAAGGGAGTGTTCGTCTTACAAGCCAGAGTTTCATTACTTGGCCATATCTTTTTTCCCATGACAGCTCCTGACCCAAATTCTTCAGCACAGTTCACAAAGAAAACCACATACACTTAGAGCTGCCATGTGCTGCAGCTATAAAACATAACATGTCGTGTTTTTGGCCTATGTTTTTGATATTGTAGGTGCTCTTTCATGCAGTTTTCACATGGCGGAAATGTGACTCACATGTTTGTAATATAGATAGCTGCCAGGCAGTAGTTTCAACAATATAATTAATGTGAAGCCAAGGGAGAATAAAGCAGCCATTGATTTGAGAAAAAGCTGCCTGAGGAGGATTGAAGACCAAGCTCTTGCGCTGCTTTTATGTAACCAGCTGTAGTGTGTCTGCAATAGCTCCGCCAGTTTTAGAAACCTCTATCTCTTCGTCTAGAATGGCGTCGTCACTCCATTTATCAGGAAATTTGCATTTGGCGCTACATGTTTGTGTTGGATAACTTCAGCAGCTCCTTTCTGTTGTTACCTTGAATCTAAAGACCTCATTAGGGGATGTCTTCTCTGGACTTTGGCCAGTTTTGTGGATTTAGGGGTGTTCCTCATGCTTACATGTTGTCAAGGAATGCAGCAGAACAAT